TCATGGCTGCTTGGAAGGTTGCGAGGGCATTGGTGAGTCCAAATGGCATCACGACCCACTCAAAATGCCCATACCGGGTTTTGAAAGCGGTCTTGTTCCGGTGTTGAGGCTGGATTTCGATCTGGTGGTACCCCGACTTCAAGTCCAACTTCGAGAAGTACATCGCGTCGCCTAACCGTGCAAGGAGATCATCGATCTGAGGGAGAGGGCCGACGTTCTTTACAGTTTGTGTGTTAAGTTTTCTATAGTCGATGATGCACAACCGTGGGTCCTTGTTCTTCTTCTGGACGAAGAGAACAGGTGCACCGTATGGCGAACAACTAGGGCGGATCCAGCCTTTGTCGAGGAGGTCGTCGAGTTGTGCGCGAAGCACCTCGAGTTCCTTTTCGTTTATGCGGTAGATGCATCCACGTGGAGGGAACCTCGAGAGTAATCCCGTGATGTATGGGCCGATCCGAAACCGTTTCGGTGGGAGCCTCGAAGACGTCTCCATATCCATCTAAGAGGTGGGTAATGCGTGGGTCCGGCGGACGCGGCTGGTCCGTCCGTTGAGGGGAGGGCGTGTAAGAGGACAATGCCCATCTCCTCTACGTCATTCCGAGCTATGGCGTTGCAAATCCTCACAACGGAAACCACGTGACAAGCAATCTCAGTGTGAGGAGTCGCGACCGTACACGGGACTAACACTCCGTTCCGATCACAGACGTGACTGGCTCAGTCATGAGAGTTTACCGGATGGTCGGCGCTACGCAACCAAGACATGCCTAGAATCATGTCGAACTTGGTGTCGAGGATGTCGAAAGACACTGGCTCGCACGCAAGGGGCGCAAAGTACACTGGGACGCTGTCAACGCATCGGTCAATTGACTTTTGCGTGCGGCCATCCGCGAGTGTGACTTGCTTAGGTTGCGTCTTCTTTCGAACATGGGGGCCGAGGCCCGCGCGGGCCATAAAGGCTTGGCTCATAAAGTTGCGAGACGCTTCGCAATCAAGCAAGGCACTGCAGGTGGCCTTTCCGATCTGAATGCGGATATAGAGCAAAGGAGCGTAGGTCTCAACGTACCTTTGGGTGGCTTACTCGCGGTCAATCTTCGCAAGATAGGAGCAGAGATCGACAACCGCTACTCCGTCGTCCGTCAACGGAGCTGGTACTGCAGCGTGCAAGTAGGAGCGTAGATATGCCATCAAGGCGTTACAATGCGGTTTTGGCAAGGATCCGGTCGAGGGTAGAGGCATCCAAGAGAAGTCCTCTCTCGTGAGCGGGTCGAGGTCCTCAAGCCTTGACCACGCCGTCGAGTCCTCGGAAATAAGTGGTGAACTGAACGGTTCTCTTGCCGACGGTGTACAAGTTACGCATACGCTAAGTGCACGTGGCTAGGCTGGTCCAATGGTGGCACCAGCTGGGCGGCATAATCCGCATTTGTGTCACGAGAATCAGCGACTAACGCATGCTCCCCGACAATGATATTGGTTGTTAGCAAGGCAACCGGCTCCGGCGGAGTGTGGAGAGGCATCATCCCGCTCCATGCACAACTCAGTTTCCCGAGTTAGCTGGATGGGGTACCTGTGCCTTGCCCTTGTCCGGGCATTGTGCAGTAGTGTGGTTTACACTGTTGCACCAAAAGCAATACCCATACCATTGTCGAAGTTCAAATACTTCCTTGGTGATGTTCTATGCCGTCCATGGTTGGTGCCCAGTCTTCGTCGCTGTCGTCCCTTGTGTCGCCTTGTTCTTCCGAACCCTTTTAGGTCGCTTCGGCGGGAGCGCTGCAACAACTCCTCCATCACTCGAGGAGGCTGCTGCACCGTGGAGATCAGGTGATCCCTCAACAATCACCGCATTGTTATGCGCCGGCCTTTGGTAGCCTTGCTTAGCCACATATTGCGGTTGGGACTGCCTTTCGTTGGCGGCCTTGTCATTCGTTTGGATGACCAGGTTAGCGCGGGCAAGGATGGCCTTGAATGAGGCATAGTCGTACTCGTTACCGAGTGCCGACCGCAGTCCTGCGCACGATCGCAAAAAGAATTCGGATCGCAGGTTTGGGAAACTTTAGTCGAAACCAGGAGTGCTTACTATCTTCTGCCACTTGATCGTCCAGTTTCGTGTTGACATGTTCCCTTGCGAGCTGGAGTAGACGTCGTTCATGGCTGCCTTTACTGCATTTCGGACCATGAATCGAGTGTGCCATAATTCCTCGAGCTGCTCCCACGTGATGTGCTTGTGCAGGTTGGCGATGGTGGTTCCCAGATTGGCCGCTGTGTGGTTCATGAATGCCTGTGCTCCTCCAATGAGTTGGAGGTAGAGTGCTGTCATCATCAGGTCGTCCGGCACGTGGTGGCAGGCTGCTTCGGTGACGAAGGCTTGCCACCATGCCAATGCATCCGTTTTGTTGTAGTCGTCGAACTTGCTGATGTTGAAGCGTGGCATATTGTATGCTTTCAAGGCGGCTTCCGGTCGTGACTACAGTTTGGTGATGTCCGTCTTGATGGCGGCCACCGTGCTGCTGATCGTGGCCGGACTGGTAAAGTCACCCAGGTCGCCGATGATGTTGACGACATGGTCAATGCGCTCTCCGAGCTGCTTCGCTATGTCTGCCGTGCAGCCTGGTGCTGCTGAGGGCTTAACCTCGATGCTGTTGACGCGTGTGATAATGGATGCCAACAGCTGTTGCTGTTGTTGCTTATGTTGTGCTGCTGCACGGATGGCGGCTGTCAAAGTTGAAGACTCTCTCTGCTGAGTCTGTCTCAGCTGCCGTCCAGTGTGCGCGCACACTGTCTGCATCGTGTTGTTCCACATTACTGCCCTCATCATGCATAGCATCAGGTTAGCGAGGTTACTCCTTTCCGCCTCCGCCGGTGTCGGATCCGCCTCCTCGTCCGTAGGCACAAAGGTCATGCCTTGGAGTAGTGCTGTCCACTGACTCTCATTCTGAATCAAGGACTCAGCGCTGGCGGCGTTCCACTTGTCTCGAGCCGTTGCGTCAGCCTCAGCAGTCCGCTGAGCTTGGGCTGCCGCCTCATTGGCAAGCCTCTGACATTCTGCTTCTGCTGCCTCTTGCTGTGCCTTTGCTGTGGCGACGGCATCGGTGAATGCCTGCACCCGCTGAAGGTAAGCTGCCAAAGTCTCGTGGTCCCCTTGGACCGGACAGGCGGGAAGGACCCCTGTGGTGACCGCTACTGCAGCTGCTGCATTGGTACTGGATGCTGCTGGAGCCGTTCACCTGCTGAGTCGTTGTTGCTGATACTTCGGACGCGGAGGTAGCGCAGAGTGGCTACGAACTGCGATCCTGGCACTGCGTCGTGGCAGTGCCCCGGTGTCCTGATCCGTCGACATCAGAACGGGCTGATGTGGTACTTGGAGATCTGGGTGGCCACATACATGGGGAGGGTAGGGAGGGTGGGAACAGGGGTAGAACAGAACAACCAATCAACATACAGTCCCCTGTCCCAATGTGGACTGGAATCCTAATCAAAAGAAAAAGATGATCTTTCCCCCCCGAACAATTTAATCTCGAAATATGCGTAGCACGGCGAACGTGTTCGCGCCCCTTCACGTTCGCGCGAACAGCTCGCGAACATGTTCGGGCGAACATATTTTTTTTCCCGTAAAAATAAATAAATAAATAAATAATTGGATTTTTATTTTTAACTCATGATTGGCTACGAATTTGAACATGACTCCAAGGCAAAAGTTGCTTGTATTGTTATTCTACATAACATATATTTTTTTTCAGATTTTTCTGAGAACTTTTTTTTTTTTTAATATTTTTTATGTTCGCGTTCGGATGGTTTTTGGCGCTTGTTCGCGTTCAGGCGAACATGTTCGTGTTCGCCTCCGAACGCGAACATGGTGCTACGTAGCTCGAAATAAATAAATAATAAGGAATAAGAATAGATAATGACTTAAAATACGAAATTTAAATTGTTGGCAGATCAGGTGTGCGTTGAGATCACCTATGGTCCGGGAGTTCACCGTTGTTGATGAACTGCCCGGAAGAAGCAGTTCTGGGGCAAACGATTTCGGTCAGTCTGCCAAACAAAATTTTTTTTGGACAATTAGGAAAAACTTCAAAAAAGAAAAAACACTCGAAGTAAAAAAAAACCGTGAAATTTTGGGAATTTCAACCTAAAATAGTCCGATTTTCAGAAGACCGAAGCCCGCTTTCAGAATTTTCAACAATTAGGGGGGGGGGGGGG